CAGTACATGGAGTACATGAAGAAAGTTTAGAGTCCTTAAAGGTCTAGGTTTTGTGATAAAGGGACTAATATGCTGAATAAGAGAGAAGGGACAATTAGTTACTTAATAACGTGGGTATGAAAACTACCTCCCAGCCAGATCATGGAGTTTGCTGGGAGGCCATGAACTGTGCTTTTGTGTGGATCCATGTCCACCACACTTGGTCTTCTGTGTTGTTGAGGTTGGGTCCGGAATGGGGGAAGGAAAAAGAGAGAACAATTGTAAGTCAGGATCTCTCGGGTCTGAGTAGAAGCAGCATGTAGCCAAGAAAGACTACAATGGTTTTGACACCTTATAAAACTATCTAGAATCTTCAAAACCAAGAGTCAACCCAAAAGAGATATAATTTTGGGAGTAAAATCACCAAAGACTAAAAGGACTAGAATGTACGTTGGTGTCCTCTTCAATAGTGTCCTATGTTGTTTCATCGGTTCAATGTCTATTCTTATGTAATACTTGCTAAGTGAATACTAGATTTAGCTGTTTATAATTATATTTTCTAATTTTTAAGAGCATAGCAGATTTTTTTTTTTTTTAAAGCCTGGTCTAATCTGTGTTTCACAGTTCAGCCTACTCTTTGGTAACTTGGCCATTTGCCAAAGAGACTGTACGGCAGGCTCCACTGTCCATCTGGTGGGAGGCTGCCTGGTTTCCAGCAGGACTTGGTGGGCTCTGAAATGAAGTCTACCAGCATCCAGAATCTACACAACCACCCCTGGGGGCAGGTGATCTCCCTGTTTGAATTAAGTGATTTGACATGAGGAATAGTGGTTTCTTAAGTTTTATTGGTGACTCTGCGTTCCTTCCAGGACCAGATTATGGGCTATTGGTGAACATTATTGACCAATTAACAGCTTTAAAAACTGCATTTAAGTTCTGAAAGCAAGGCAACTTCAAACTCAGTGTTTAAAAAAGTAACTCGCCCTATACTGAGGGTTTCCATTCCACTTGCCCACTTTTGAACTTTCCAGAAGTAAAGTTATTTTAGGCCACTTTCTTATTTGTAAAGTGAGACTAGTGCTGTGAAAATTAAATGAGGTACCAGTTCCTTTAAAACCTGTAACCCTGGGAAAGCCATGTAGAAATCAGTTACTAGATGGTGGTCCCTTTTTTATTTCTATGTTTTAAAACTATTTTTATTGATTTCAGAGAGGGAGAGGGAGAGAGAGATAAAAACATCAATAATGAGAGAGAATCATTGATTGGCTGCCTCCTGTATGCCTCCTACTGGAGATTGAGCCCATAACCCCAGCATGTACCCTTGAACGGAATCGAACCCAGGACCCTTCAGTCCACAGTTCTGATGCTCTATTCACTGAGCCAAACTGTACAAAGAGCTATTTAAAAATTCTGACATAACTCTCTTACAGTTCCGATTTAAAGGCTCCTAGAACTTACATTCTCATGGGAGAGACAAGATAAGTAACTAAAATATGTGTATACTGGTGATATGTGTGTATTAAAGAGAAGCTTAGAAAACAGAAAACGGGATATAAAATCTTGGGAAGGAGTTAAAATTTTAGGTAGGGTGAACAGCTAAGACCTCGACAGGAAGGGGACTCTTGACTAAACTAAGCACCTGAAGAATAAGAAGGTTATACTTGTGTGGATGTCTGAGGGAAGGACATGTCAAGTGGTGGGAGCAACAAGTACAGAGGCCATGAGGCAGTAGTGTGCGTGATGTGTACAAGGAACTTCGTGGAGGAGGATGTCACTGGGTAGAATAAACAAGGGACAGACCAGTTGGCGATGAGGTCATTGTTGGCAGGGGGCCAGTTCGTAGAGCACGTACGTAGGGTTTTGTAGGCCATAGTAAGGATCTGGGGGGTTTGAGAGGAGGAGCACCATGACCTGGCTGTGGTGCTGGGAAATCCACTCTTGGAAGGGGAGGAGCACGGGAGGGTAGTCAACAAGGACAGACGCGTGCAGGCCAGAGAAGAGGCTAAGGTAGTCATCGGGAGCGTTCCCATGATGTCAGTGCTGGTGCTGTGTTCTGCCATTGAGATGCAGGAGGTTTTTTCTGTGTTCCTGCTGCGTTTATAAATACTAGGAGGCATAGGTCAGGTCATTTTGGAAGTCATACCATCCTGGTTTTCTAATTTTCTTCAGTAGCTTGTAGCACTATCTAACAGTCACTCTGCATGGAACGTTACCTGTGCCCTGCTAGTCTGGGAAATTTTCTTGAAATGAAGGGAGCACTTTACAAAACAGATGATCTTTGTCAGTTGTCACATTGGAGCTGTCCCTGGTGACCGTCCCATGGTAACGAAGCTAACTGAAGTACCGTTCCATTGTGATAGTTATCGATTCTGACAACTAAAAGAAAAGTAGTTTACTAGGCCTGATGTGCACCGCTGAGTCGCATGCAAACCACAGAACCAAGCTCCTCCAGGTCCCTCAGCGGACGTCACACGAAACGGTAACCCTCTCCGCAGGATGTCGCCGTGCTGTTTATTCTCTGGCCATCTGAAGCTTTCCTTTCTTTTAAAACTTTCAGTTAGGATGTGCTTCTTACGGCCTTCGAGATTTGTGTTATATTTCAAGGTTGCCTGGGGAATTATTTCTATGTAAATATGTCAGAAAGTTGGAGTGACCTTTTAATTTACTAGATTAAGCTTCAACCTCAGACATGTGACCTTTATACAAATTGATATGAAATTCTCAAAATTTTCTTTAATTTATGTGTATGTGTAGCTACAATGTAAGAGTAGAGAATCTGTATTATAAATCAAACTTAACAAGAGTAGCATAACTGCAAAGGAGGCAGAAATAATTGATTTATGTCAGCCTGGCGTAGCTGCTGCGGCCGACTCAAAACATTCCTTTGTCTTTTCAGGATCTGTAGGAGCTGTAACCAGTGTCAGATCAAACATGAATGGATATGGTGTATTTAGTATCATGATTAAGATGTCAGTAACATATACTCCAATTATGTTCGTTATTTAATTACAGACATTTTATAGTTTCTTTAGGTGGAAAAGAAAGTAGTTTATCATTTTACATGTTTTATGCATAAAGAATTTAAAGTAAAAAATACTGAGATGTCTAGTTATGTAATTTATATTTTTATTTCTATAATGCATTTATTATGGATAGTCTTGCAATAAAAGAAAAGTGCAGGTACTTGTCATTTCATGGTTTTGTTTTCGTGAAGTCGCATTTATATGACCACCACCTTTATGGCCATGACATTTAACTGTCCTAGACATTTCCACAGCTATCATCTCATGAGGTCCTAAGAGTGCAGGATATTCCCATTTTACAGCAAGGGACCTCAACATTTAGGAACAGCCTAAAGGTCCTTTGACTGTAAGTTATAATGTGAATAGATTCAGGTGTTTGGATTCTTCACCTAAGACCATATCCCTAACACGCCAAACCATTTTCATCTGTTCTGTGTAGCCCTCTTCAGATTGTGGAGTGCGGTACTTGTAGAATAAATACAGGTATTGTGTGGGAAGGTTAATTCATTAACAGTAGTGATGACAGTGTTCTCTTCTAAGTGTTTGAGATTTCTAAATGATGGGTTTCTATAGATTTCTTACTGATGTCCTCTTAAAAACTTGCATTTAATCCAAAAAGGCATCAACATATGCTTTTTAAAAATGGATCAATCTTTGCCTGGCTGGTGTGATTCAGTGGTTGGGTGTTGACCTATGAACCAGGAGGTCACGATTCGATTCCCAGTCAGGGCACATGCCCAGGTTGCAGGCTCGATTCCCATTTGGGGAGCAAGGGGCGTGCAGGAGGCAGCAGATCAGTGATTTTTCTCTCATCGTTGATGTTTCTATCTCTCCCTCCCTCACCCTTCTTCTCTCTGAAGTCAATAAAAAATATGTATTTTTTTAAAAAGTATCAATCTGTCCAAATGAAATGTTGGGTGAAAGAAGTCACAAAAGAGACCTGCAGAACTTTTCCTTTACAGAAAGTTCAATACAGGCCAAGGATGCTGTGATGCTAGAAGTCAGGACAGCAGTTACCCTTGCTTTGGGGGAGAGGAGAGCTGCTGTGACCTGGGTCCGGGTTTTATAGGTGGTCCCTTGGGAAGAGTCACTGACTTTTTATTCTTAAATAAAACTCTTTTAAGTGCCTTGTTTTCATAGGTGGTAGTTTAAATGCTTTCAACTTGAAGAACTGTTCTTATACATTTATTCTTACTATAAACTGCCATCTCCCAACAAAAGTCAGTTACCCCTTTTTGTTGTTGTGCCTGAGCGCAGTGTATTTCTTTTGAATTCTTGGAGCTTCCTTCTCACCAACCCAGTTGCCACGGGGCCATCATCAGATGCTTGCCAAAACAGCTTTCTTGCTTACACTTTTTAAGATGTTATGGGAGGAACAGTATTAAAGACGGTCCCCAGTTAGGATGTTAATCTGTATCAAAACTGACACTGCTAGAAATGTTCTCATGGAATTCTGATAAGGCTCAGAGCACAGCTTTAGTCAGCTTCTTATAAGTAAACAATTTCACACAGATATTTTTCCATATAAATGGTTTCAGAAGAGCACAAGTAGTCAAACAACAATAGCTCTATCATTTTCTAAATGTCCCTTGAGGCCAGAGCCTAAAGGAAATGAGATTGAGGCTAGAAATTATTTTGAGCCAAACTACATTTTAATAAAAATGGAAATTGATGGTCACAGCCGTGTTGTGTCTCTGGGCTTCTTATGTTAAACTGAATCCATAATCTTCTGACCACAGGAAACAGGAAGAACTTAAGATTCTGTGGGTCAGCAAAACCTTTCGCAGTCATGGTTTAGAGACTGGCCTCTGCGAATCACACATATTACGGGTCATGCTCAGGATGCTGAGCAGAGTTCTTGCAAACCACTGCTTCTGTTCCTAAATGTGACCAGGTGTTTTTTGTTTGTTTTTTGCTTCAAATCAGTTTAAATTTTTAAAAAATGTTTCTGTCATCTCTTTACACACTGTGGCTTCTTTTTCCTCATTCCGCCTACAGGGTTCTATCTCCTCCTTGGAAGAGGAAAGACATATTTCCATCAGGAGACCTAAAACGCCAACCTCAAGTGACTTCCCTGACCTTAATACTCAGACGAACTGGGCCCAGTCTCTTCCCTTGCCAACACCAGAAGAGAAGATGCGACTGCACGCCCAGACAGTCCAGGCTGATGTGGTTCCTATTAACATAACCGGTATGCTTCGCTGTGTAGACAAGGTTCATAATGTACTCCGGAGAGTGGCTGTGGCTTTCTGTTGTTGTTGTCATATGCATTTAGCATTTTATGCATCAGAGGGAAAGCTGTAATATGTGTATATTCCTTTGCTTAATGAAGGGAATACTAAAACATATTTGTGCGTGTACATGTAAAATAGCTGTTGCTTTTAAGTTAGAAGACTGTGTCACCAAAGATTGATGTGGAAGAACTCCGTGGTCCAGCCACTCATTTAAAGCCTGTCGTTTTAAATTGACTTACCTTTAAAATATATTTTGATTATATGGAGACATATTCTAAATGTGATTTTTGGATAAGAAAAACTATGTGCGTTTTTTTCCCTAAAGGGCTATTTTAAGTAATATTTATAAAAGTAAAAAAAAATAACAATTTTGTGATATTTCTTAATGATAGGTTTTACCTTTTTGTTTTCTCAGGTAAAAGAGGGAAAAATTACTTGAAATAAAAATATCATGTGAATTAACAATAACTAGAAAACATATTTTAAAGAAAACTCAATAGGATGGTAAAGTTATATTTTGATCCCTAAAATTTGAATTCTACAATCTTCAAATAAAAGTTAATTTTTAATATAAAATTTTAGAATATAAATCGCCACGTGTAAAATTCAAGTTCTTCTAGAATAGTATGCTCAAGTTTGAATCACCTGTGATAATTAAAGGTGACAAATTACAAGGTACATGAAGTTCAAAGTCAGTATTTCACAAACTTAGATGAGCTGTTAAAAATATCAAAATTGTCCTGTTTTATCACGTTAGTAGGCATGTATACAGTGCAAAATAGGTGTGTTAAGAGTTAATAGCTTCAGCCATTGGACTGTGTGGTAGAAAGAAATAGAGTACTGATCGTCATCATTGATATCAGTCCATACAAAGCATGGCTTACAGGGCTAGAATCTAAAAGAAATCAGGTGACCAGTAAGGATGAGTTTTCATTAAAAATTAGGGTGAAAACCATAGCACATTTGCTGCATTTCTGAGACTATTACTGTTGACTGCCATTAGAAAGCTTTTTGCCATGGCATTGGTTAATTTTTAAAGGACTAATGACATTTTGATAGTTATTGGAGAATTTTAAAAAACCTTGCACTTAAAAATTACTTTTAGAACTCATTTTGAATTCCAGAGAAATGTAATAAATAAGTGCATGAATTATTTTAAATTCCATGTGCATTTCACGTATTTATTGTGCATAAGCCTTAAAGGAAGAATATCATGGCACTTTAATCCATTTTCTTTGCAGATAACATCATTGATCTTTCTGAATGTGATGCTTGTTCACCTAGATCATATTTTTTAAAGATTATTTTTATAAGCAGCTATGTTTCAGAACAAAGTATAATGTTTATTGCTCAATGAAATACATAGGTGCATATTTTCTGTAAGAATATGCATTATATTATTTGATTGATTAAATGCAGCAGAAATGTAATTATGTATGATTAAGTGCCTCAGGAATAATGTTATAAATAGATTGTGCTATGAAATATGACAATCTGTAATGGAATTAGGATAAAATATATTATTTTGACATTAGTAAATTTAAAGCAGAGTAACTAGAATTTTAGGAGTAATGAATTATTTACAATGAAATGCATTGTCACAACAGGAGACAGTGTCCTTTCTTTGAGCTTTAATCCTCTCCTGTTTGATATGAATTACATAAAGTTTAGAAGGAGGCCTGCCCTAGCCAGTTTGGCTCAGTGGTTTGAGCGTCAGCCTGCGGACTGAAGGGTCCCAGGTTCGATTCCAGTTGGGGGCATGTACTTTGGTTGCTGGCACATCCCCAGTGGGGAGTGTGCCGGAAGGAGCTTATCAATGTTTCTCTCTCATCGATGTTTCTGTCTCTCTATCCCACTCCCTTCCTCCCTGTAAAAAATCAATAAAATACATATTTTTAAAAAATAATAAAATAAAAAGATAAAAGGAGGCCTTCAGAATGCCACACAGGAAAGGTTAATGACAAAAAAAAAGGAGCAATATGAGTTATATCAAAATGCAATTTATTTTTGTGTGATTAATGTTTTCGGAAATGTAGAAATTAAATATAATTTCTAATTACATATGTATTGATCCATTTTCTGGATACATGTGTTCAGGTACTCATTCATATATTTCATAAAGGGAGTAGTTTTTCTAATATTCTGATATAAAAAAGCATTAAATTAAAAATTGTCACTTTAAGTAGTTGAATTGACCTAGGTTAGACAGTTTCTTGCTATTTAAATGACATTTTCTAAAGCCCCAGATGACTCTTGAGATAAAAATGTACCTTCCTGTTGGGAATTGTCAAATGCTCACTTATTTGGCTAAACATTGAACGTCTAGTTGATTTTCAGTAAGGTTCAGCTGGGGGGAAAGTGCCGACAAATATATTATTTCAAGTCCAAAGTGAAGCCCGCCAGGCATAGAGGTAGAGCATTAGCGCAATGAGCTGCAAGCTTGAAAACCAATTTAACCCCTTTAGTTGTAGTTCTATGGGACTCAGCATGTTCTAAATGTTGAAGAGAAAAAAATGTTAAAAATAAATGTATATATAAGTATGTTTCATAATCTGCCATGTAGGATAACAACTCTTCCACCTGGAAAATAAGAGTGGGTAAACATACTTAAGCAGTTTTTATAAACTGGCTTTGTATTGATGTTTGAGCCAGCAAAATTTATTTCTAAGTAGTAAGCCAGACTGACTAATGCCATTTTTCAGTGAAAGAGAATGATTCGATTCCTCTCATATATTTACTGAATATTCAGTATTTACTGAATAACTACTTTGTGCCAGGCATTGACATGAATCGTGGTCCCTGCCTTCAAGAAATGTATAGTCCAGCAGGGAACACAGTCCTTTTAGGTAACAGTGCAAGATGGAGAGTTTGACACCTTTATTTTTATTTATTTAATTGATAACTTTCCCCCCCCAAAATATTTTTATTGATTTCAGAGAGGAAGGAAGAGGGAGAGAGAGAGATAGAAACATCAATGATGAGAGAGAATCATTAATGGGCTGCCTCCTGCACGCCCCACATTGGGAATCTATTAGGCATGTGCCCTTGACTGGAATCGAACCTGGGACCCTTTGGTCCACAGGCCAACACTCTAAACATTGAGCCAAACCAGCTAAGGCAAGTTTGACATCTTTAATGGTGATTCTATCCTCATGGTTTGTTTCTTTATTTCCTGGGAGCTTGAGTGGTTTAGCTTTTGTTTTTGTTTAGGAAGCAAAACTAGAGACTAAATGCAACTGTCTATTAGGTTTTAACCATTCTTGATGCCTTGATACAAGGAAGTATTTTCCCCTCTGCTGCAGGGAACTAATGGACCATTGAAGGCATGACTTGCCACTTACAAACACCTTATATGTTGTTGCACAGAGCGACACGTTTGTTACAGTGATGGTACCTTCTGGTGTTGCAGGGTCTTCTCTCAATGGTTTCTGTTTTCCTCCATTAGGAACAAAGAGGCAAGCATTTTCAAGTTGAAGTTTGTTCCTTAGTAGGTGAAATGTAGTTTGATCATTCAGCTCTTTTATTGTCTGTTTTGATTCAAGTTTTATTTACAACTTATTGCTATTATTATAGAAAGTACCTTGTTCACAAAATACCCACTTTGAATGTGTCAATATTGCTAAAAAGAGAGAATGCTTTTATACTTTTCTCACAACAAAAGAATGATGGAAGTACATAATTTGTGTGTATATATATGTATTTTTAAAATCTCTTTTTGAGGAGATAACCACTTGACAAGGTCCGTGCTATAAAGCTTTCTTTAATTTAGCTGGCAAGTCATTTAAAGCAGACCAATCAAAAACTGATACTTTATTTTTTAATGTTTTCCCATTGTGTGTCAATCACCACACAAGCTCACATTCTCGAGAGAAAGAAGTCCTGTGGATCTGACATTTGGGGATTGATTGCAGCATTACCTGAAATATCTAAATTCAGATCGACTATTACAAGTGACTGTGAACTAAAGAAGCAGTGCAGCTTTAACAACAGCAGTGCTACTGGGTCTCATTGTGGTAAAAGTACTTTATCATTATAAGGCTTTTATTTTTCATTATAGTATCTCACACCACAGCTCATTTCCGCAGTCTGTCCAAATTGTTGGCCTCCTTGACTGGAGGAAAAACTCTTCATCTGAGAGTTCTTGACTAAGTTATCTGTTTCATCACATAGGATGGGACATTGTGATGGTCTCTGGAGTTGACTAAATGATTAACACATTGCATACCGCATAGAAATCTCTAAGACATATGCCAGGGACCGCACGTTTTTGGACAAACTGCACGTTATTTAAATCATCATAATGCACTTTAGGTGTTGTTTTTCAATAATTATAACATTTTTATTTACAAAAACAATTAAACAATTAAAGTTCCTTGTACTTTTTTAACGTAAGGTACTGCATAAAACATTGTCCTCTATGAAGGGGGACCAAACAAAATTTACCTAAGTATCTAGATTCGCTCCTTTTTCTATGGGTGTGAAAAACAAGAACACTCGTGAGTGGTCCTTAACAGATGGCGCGCGAAACACGAGAAAACTCCTGAGCGGTATGAAATGTGTTAAGATACATTTATTGCCATCATCACATGCACGCTGATGTAATGAGTGATGTCTGAGACCAAGGGACCTACGTGAAGCACTTCCCAGATGACTCACGTTTAAAATAATGCAGAATCACTCTTCTGGCGTGTTGTTAACAAATTTGCATTTTCCACTCCAGCTCATTTGGAAATGAGATCCAGGTGCTTCCTTTGGAAGGACACACACAGAGAAATTGGAAAAGAGCCTTATGATGATAATGTGCTTTCCTTCCCTTTTTGCCCTTCAGCATTCATTCATCACCATATGACTGGCTAACATCATTATTAATATCTTCTTAGCATTTGACAACAAGCTTCTGGAAGAAAGTGCATGGTGTCAGCTTGCTTGAAAATAACATTGCTTTGCTTGTTCTACTACTCTACATTAGGGGAGAATTTCGATCGTCAGGCCAGCCTACGGCGGTCTCTAATTTACACAGACACTCTGGTAAGACGACCGAAGAAAGTCAAAAGGAGAAAGACTATTACAGGAGTCCCTGACAACATACAGAAGGAGCTAGGTATGGCTCATCAGAACTGTATTCTGTTGCCCCTCATTGCTGCTCAGCATTCCTATGCTAACCTCATCTGTGATGCTTATGAAATCGATACATTCTGATAGCCATTTGGTGCCCCAAAGGGCCAGCTTCTTTTCTGAATGAGGCACAGGGTACAAATCTTAACACCCCATGCAGATGATGTATTGAATTTTGGTGACAAGGTAAGATGAGAAGTTAATATGAAAACTGTTCACTGGGATGGTAGTCATTCAGTTATGTCATCATCTCCATGTACCTTGAACAGTGGGGAATTGCCACAATGAAATTTACTTTTCATTTAGATTTTAAAGTTTTCATAAAACTGAAAACTCATTCTAGAACTTCAAGTTACGAAAATGGACTTCATTAGTTATACTGACAATATCGGTGGCATTGTCATCAAAGAGACAGCAGTGGGGAATAATTAGTAACTACTAGTATGATAGAAAATAGTCATTTAGGTTGGATAGTGCATTTCTGTACTTCCAGTGAAACAACTTCATAGATTTTGGGTCAGTATTTTTCAACCTGTGATAAAAACAGAAAAAAACACAAACAAAAAAACTAGCTAGTGGAGAGGTTGTTTACTTCATTATTCACTTATCCATTTGTTTCTGCTTATCTGTATATACACTGTGGATAATCTTCATTCTCTTCTTTCTACCTTCACTTCATCTGTTTTTTAATGGGCCCATCAGGAATGTCTGCAGAGGCAACAAGGCAGACTGGGTCAGCACAGGGACTCTGGCGCCAGGCTGCTTGGATTTGGACCCGACCTCTGCCACTAACTCTGGGTGACCTCCGGCTAGTTCCTATACCTCTCTGAGTCTACTTCCTCATTCAAGGGAGGGTTGTTTGGATTTAATGAATTAATATAAGGGAAGCCCTCGGTATCTGGTACTAGTCTGAGCATAATAGGTGCTATTGTAATTACTGTAGGGAACTTAATACTACCCTTCCAGAAACGTGCCTTTCTCTTCAGCCAACCTCTGGACTTACTTCATTATGAGTACTTCCACCTGATGTTTTTACTTTCATTTACTGTTAAAGGTTTTACTCTAGAAACTCAGAATTCTTCCTTCTGAACTTGCCTCTTAGTTAAAATGAATGATGTATCCTAGCCATAGTGGTATGCCTGCTATAGCGCTTTGAGGTGGCATTTCAGCTTCCAGGGGCTATAGACACTGTTCCTATGTCTGTTTTCCCGGCACCCATGCTCATTCTTCTTTACCTGGCATTTCCTCTTTGACTGCCATTCAGTTCCCCAGTATGTATGCTCTGCCTCCCAGACTGAGCAACGAGACAAGAATAGCAGAGCTTCGCTTCTTCTGTAGGTAGCTCCGGTGACCCAGATGACGTCCAGGTGCTCGTCTCATCCCATAACACAGGGGTTAGAACAAAGGCAAGGTTACACCCACAGGATTGTGAGACCTGCCTTTGGTTCCTGCCCCCACATGCTGCTTTTTTTTTTTTAGTGGCCAGTCCTCCTGTATCGTTCCTTCAAACTTTTTTTTCTTTTAGATGACGGCTAATTAATTTGAGAAATTAGTATGTACATGTATGTTCAGTAGGTGCTTAATGAGCTAATCTCTTACAGGACTCAGGTAACATTTGTACTTGAACTGATCTTTACGAGATGTGTCTTAACCAAAAGGAGCAACTTTAAAGATAGACCCTTTGTAAGATAACAAGGTTGATGTTTCAAGAGTAGGCTACATTTTAATTGATTGGAAAGCTAGGTTTTGGATGGCTTTGTGCAAAGGGTGTAAGAATAGTTTGGCCCAGATAAGATGCACATGCACATGAAGTATTCAGTATAAATTATCTATATATGCATGTAATATGAATTCTAGAACCTCAGAATTACGAACATTTATCATTTTTTTTACTGAGCCAACCAGTATGGGCCAGTCCCTCACTTGCCTCTTTGACTTCACTGGAATGATTTGGCCAGCTTGGTAACTCATATCTTCTGTCATTGTAATACTTTTTAAATGAATGTTTGAGCCCCTGGAGCTCATGTTTATTTCTCTTTTGCATGTGACATGGAACCACTCTTAAGGCTGGAGGAAAGAAAATAGCTTTCCCCATATCATCAATGTATCAATGTTGTGATTGTTGCCAGATATGCAGCAGCTGATGTCATTGCACAGCCAGTATGACCTGGATCACAGCTGGAGGTCAACTGAGACAGCTATATCTAAGTTAGAACTAGTAAAAAAAAAAAAAGACAATTAGACAATGACTCTCATTTTTTGTTTTTATCCTCACTCGAGGATATTTTTTCCATTAATTTTTAGAGAGTGTGAAAGAGGGTGGGAGAGAGAGAAACATTGATGTGAGAAAGACACATCTGTTGGTTGTCTCGCACACTTGCCCTGATTGAACCTGCAACCCTGGTACGTGCCCCACAACCCTTTGATGCAGGGCCAGTGCTCTGACCATTGTGCACACTGGCCAGGGCACAATGACTAGTTTTATAGGAAGGAATGGTGGATAGAATAAGGGAAAAATAACATTTGAATACAGTAACATTTAGAGAAAAAATTGAATCATACTTTTTTCTTTATTCATTTTAGGAATTTTCTAGATGTCCTGTCCACTAAACACTACCCAGGTTGCCAGGGCTTTGGATTTAAAAAAAAATCTAACCAGAGGTGTGTCCAGAATTAGAGTTATATTTATATTATGCTTAATTATATGCAGCTTTTACTTCAAAATACGTAGATGGACTCTAGAGACTAGCTAATATATAACACTTTAAAGTCAAGGTTATGGTATTGTCTATTTACTTCCAAAGTATATTTGATGACTTATTATTTGTTGCCTTCCATTTAAACAAATTGGATACAATTTTATTTTTTTTCTTTAATCTTATCTTAAACATACATTGAAATATATTTGAACACCCTGTTGTGAGGTTTCTTTTATTTTTTAGACTCAGGTAGGATTATTTTGTTGATGTGTAATTATATTTGGCTATTTCTGGGACTTATCCCAATATGTGTTTCCCAAGCAGAAAAAGCCTCTTTTAAAGGAATCTCCTTCTGAATAATTTCTGGTAGTTTGTATTAAAAACATTACTAAAGACCTGCCAAGACTTTTTAAGATTTATTTTTCAATTATACTTGACATGCAATAATAGTTACCGGTGCTGATCAGACTTTTTAAAAATCCTCTGTAAACCTTAAAATTAACTAGTAGATGTCTATCTTTGATTACATGTGTTCTTTAAAAATTGAAAAACCCTTATAGTATTATATAATAAGTAAAAAAATTTATATACATAATTATTTCTTTACACTATATTTTTAAACCAGATAAATCCCATCAATATTTTTAGCAGCATCTGATTGTTTATAATTCTCTTGTTGTAGTCTGGTTTTGTTCTTTAATTCTAATCAATGTAGCATCTGAATCTGTAATATTGTGATAATTTTTGTAGTGTGAAAATATTGGAGGACCTGTTTGGGGAATAGAGTTTTGGTGGCCTCTCTGTTAAATATATACGAGTTTTCCCATTTTTAAAGATCTTTAGAAAAATAGGGTTATCTTAATAAGAAAATTGTACTTGGCTGTAGAAGGGGAAGAAGTGGCTATATTCCCATTTTCAGAAGACTAGAATGGTTTCACGTTCAAAATTGTAACCTGAAATAAGCAGGACATTATGGGCCTTAGAGACAGTTAAAAATCTACCATTGATCCCATTCAAAAACTACTATAATTTTTTTGGCGGGGGGTAGGGGAGAGAAAGGATATTAAATCCCATCATTGAGTAGAATAGATATCTTGAATGTTTGGAATTAAACTGGTACAAACTGATAGAGCCATACAAGCCAGGCTCCAAAACGTGTACCTTTTGTTTCTCTTTCCTCAAAGTGGATTTTTCTTCTGTTCCTGCCCTCTTGCTTGCTCCTGCTCTTCCTAAGGGATGACCTCATATGCATATGTGTGAGTGTGTGTGTGTCTTTAGTGAGTGGGCACTTGGCAGAGGGGAAGGAGAAGGAAATGGATCCTGTTAGGTAGAGATACGAGTACAAAAATGATTCTCTATCAGCACAGTGAAGGGAAGGGCTTTGTGCTGGGTGCCTGCCTCCACAGGGTGACATCTTCTTGTGGTTTGTACCAGGAACATTGCTGCCATTTTAGTTAAGTGCTTTGCTGTTTGGATGAGCACAAGGCTTTAGTTGCACTCGGGGATTAATGTGGGGTGTGGAGGGAGGGCTCCAGAATCCCATCACCACCAGTGTGCTTGCCGGTGAGCAGTGGTGCTGGTGGGTGCCCAACCAGCATCACTCAGCAAGCCCCTCCTTGAGCTCTTTTCGCGTCCTTGCTGGATGAGAACTGTCCAGAGAGAACTGGTTTTGCTACTAATTTTCAAGACTTAATTTGTCCTAATGATTACTCCGCATGAATTGATTTTTTTTCTCTGTACATTTTGCCTTCACGATTTTTTTTAAAGCTTCTGTTCTTTCCTAGGTACTTGAAATCTAACTGTTATCTACATTTGAGGTGTTTTCTCCTCCACTTCCCTCTCTGTTTGGCCTTCCTTGTGCTTTTTTCTTTTTGTAAAGCTCCAAGAAATGAATAACGCTAATTTGAGGAAACGCTCACTGGATCAGTTCCCGCTGCTTTTTCCCTACCAGCACACAACAGATTGCTGTTGAATTTTGAATGTCACTGACAGACAGATGATAATGGCTTGAGTTGGATAATAGAAATGTTTGAAACACAGATGGGCCTATAAATCATTTTTCTTTTTCTTAGGATTTTCTTCTGCCACAGAAATTAACACTGTTTTATACCCATATCCTTCATAAATGGTATCTTTGGAGCCCATGTTGAACTGCTACATTCATCTGTCTTTGGAAAAGTCAGTCTCTCCTGACAGACAGATGCTCTGGGCAGGCGTCTCCTGGGTGACTGGCTACTTTGAAATCTTTACAAAACCGAAAGGTTACTTGAAAAGTAAACCTTCCACAGAGCTCTCAGCCTTGATCTCAAAGGGGGTACCTAAGAATTCCATATGCAGCACTTAATCTATAGGAGGATTTGGAAGTACAAATTAAGTTCATAAAATTCATAAGTACTTTTAGGAGATATTTGGTAACTATTTAAACTCACTCAGGTGCCTATGGGAGGAAAGAAAATAGATGAAATAGAGAAGTTTGTGTGTGTGTGTTATGTTAAATACAGCAGAGTCAGAAAGAGGTGAGGGTTCAGGTGATGAACTAAGAGACCGAGTTTTAGGTAACAAGCCTCCTTCTGCTTTATCTGCAGCCTCTGGCACCAGCCAGGATGGTGTTGGTGGTCACTCGGTGTACAGCCCGGACCACTGCTCCACACTAGGAAGGCTTGGTGGCTGCCGGTTTGCGGGACAGCGCTCGGAAACCCGGGACTCCAGCTGTCAGACGGAGGAGGTGAAGGTCGTGCCGCCTTCCATGCGGAGAATTAGGGCCCAGAAGGGGCAGGGCATCGCCGCCCAGATGAGCCACTTCTCAGGCTCCTCTGGGAACATGTCCGTGCTGAGCGATTCTGCAGGCATCGTGTTCCCCTCTCGCCTCAACACCGATGCGGGTTTCCACAGCCTCCCCCGATCCGGAGCGAGGGCCAGCATTCAGTCCCTGGAGCCCCGGCCGGGCGCCCCGGGCCCTGCGCAAGACCTGGATGGCACGTTCCAAAACCCAGGGCAGTTAGGAGGTGCCTCAAGGACCGGAACGCTTTTTAGGCCCAAATCTCAGGAGCTGAGGCGCTTTGAGAGTGAAAACAGAGCAAGCCCAGCGTGCGTGGTGTCTCCCCACGGGACGTACAGCACCAGCGTCATCCCCAATGCCACCCTCTCCTCCTCCTCAGAGGTTATTGCTATTCAGACTGCTCAGATTTTGGGGCAGCTGGACAATAGAATGACCAGCTCCTCTTCCCACACAAAGGTGAGATCCAGAGACCACCTGCTGCCCAGGCACTCTGGTGAAGGTGACCGCCGGTCTCCGGGTGGTTCCTGGAGTGAGGGCCCCTCCACCATCGTCTCGCAGGCTTTCGACCCCCACCCGCCCAGGGCAGCCACGCTCCTGGCCCTCTGTGACTCGGCAGTCTCCCTCAACACCCCAGCAAACCTGGAGAACGGGTCCCAAGCCATGGCCTATACCTGTAGAAGGAACCCGAACTTCCCAGCCCTCCCCCAGGACGTGGACGGCCAGAGCGAGCCCAGTTACTCGGGAGGCGGGGGGCATGTCGGCGGGGAGCCCTGGGAATACAGTGCCTCGGGGAGCGGGCGGGCATCCCCCCTGAAACCTCACATGGCGACTCCTGGTTGCTCCACTCCTGGAAGTAACATGAGCAGCTGCAGTTTGGACCACACGTGCCACAGAGAGGGCGCCAGGTCCCTGTATTCAGAGGACCACGATGGCTACTGCGCATCTGTGCACCCCGATGCTGGGCCCGGGAGTCTGTGCAGCAGCAACAGCAGCAATGGCTTTGGGAACCCCCGGCACAGTGTGGTCAATGTTTTTGATGGAAGGGCTCCGAAGAACCAGGGGGACAAATCCCATTCTCGAAACATCTCCTTGAAGAAGGCAAAGAAGCCGCCCCTGCCCCCCTCTCGGACGGACTCGCTGCGCAGGGTCCCCAAGAAGAACGGCCAGGCCAACGGGCAGGTGCTCAACGAGAGCCTGATCGCCTCGCTCCAGCACTCGCTGCAGCTGAGCCTCCGGGGCCA